GCCTACTGTTGATCTATGACGTTCTTTTGCTGCGTGAATATCTCAAAAAGAGTAGAGGTATCTCCCTCTATGTAGGGTTTTACATGTGTACTAAAAAGTCTGGTTTCTAAGATGAATAAAATTGTTTAAAACTTATTTTTTTTACCAGCGTGCTGAAAGAACCACTTTTCCGCACGCATTTCGGTTCGGCATGTGTCACATTAGGCCGTCTTGCGGCAAAGCTACTTTTTCGCACGGCCTGCCGAAAAGTAAAAATGTCATATGACTTTTGCTCTCAGCTAGAGTATCGTAAGTCAGTAGGTCTGTCAGATCTGGCTTTTTTGCATTATTTATTAGTAAGTATTATGGAATTTTCAATTTATCCTACATTTAATTTAGAGATTAGTGGTATAAAAATTGTAATTTTGGTTGGACCTAAAGACACACGATTCAATTTTATTCGCAGTGCGAGCCGCGATCTTGTGTGCTTGGGAAATTGCTCGACTGTGTAGACTACTGACTCACGCAACAAAGGGTTGCCTTGCGATTCCGCTTGAATGTAACGAAGCTGCGCCTTTTGTTTGATGTGGTTTGTTGATCAAACTTAATTTTGATGATGATCTAGAGTTGTCGAAACGTAATTTTGATTTTGCTTTTCATCGCTTCAGTGTGTTTCTGCCAGGTCATCCCTTTGTCAAAAGTGTCATCAAAAGATACCTGGCAGAATCATGTCACCTGGTGTTAAATTGAATCATTGCTTACAATATGTCATTGTAAACATAAATGAAATGAAGCTGTCATATTCTGATGACTGACTGAATTTGATACTTGGTTACATTTTTACAATATATTGTTGTTTCTCGTTTTACGCGCAGGTAGACACAATTTTGTTCGTAACTCTTACGGAAAGTGTCTTTTCCGCACTCGATTGTCGCGCGAATTTCGCTTAGCGCCGTTACTACATGTATTTCCAAATAAGTGCGACCGCAGTTGGACGGACGCGGAGCAGTTGCTGGCATTTTGAATATTTATGACGGACGACAAAATCCTGGGTAGGCTAGTAGTGCACTCAAAGAATTATTACATTTAACGCTCGGTAAAATTTTTGACAATGGGCTGTGGTAACTACGACCCATCATGTAACATCTTTTACTGAATCATACAAGTATGATACAGTACATGTTACGCACATGACACGTAGGAGCTTTAAGGCCTGTTCGTACAGCTGTCATCAACCTGTCAGTGATCATGTCTAAGTTCCCGCCACACAAAATTCGTTCATTCTGCTAGGCTATATAGACAGAATTCACACGACCAGACCCCAGACACAGTCACCGACAAGTTACCGACCACTGTACGAACAAACACTTAATGGATGTTTAAAGAATATTTAGGAACTTTAGCAACAATTCTTTTCATATTATATTTACACACACATCTTGCTCATTTTCAAATATTAAATCGCTTATACCCCGAAAACAATCAACTTTAGAGAGAAGTTATATATAAATCACTAATGGATTCTGATTTTATTGACTATTGGGCTATTGGGTATTTTTCTAAAAACAAGACCAAAGTTCGACAACCTGCATATCAACTGTCTTCACAGTTTGAATTATTGTAGGCTAATATATTGATGAAAAGAAAACGTAGGTAGTCAGAATTTCGCAGATTTGACTACAACCACAACCTTCAAGGTCCTGTCAAGGTCAACTTTCCCCCTCTTTTTATATCTGTAATCAAGAATGGAGTGTTTCATCGAAAAGAAGTATATTGACCTTGACATGACTTCGAAGGGTATGGCCGTGGTCACATTTTCCAAATTCTAACTACCCACGTTTTCATCAATATCTCCCCATACTAATGCAATCTGTCAAGACAGCAGATACGCAGGTTGTCAAACTTCGGAATTTTTTTAGATAAAATGCCCAATACCTATACCTGTAAGTAGGTTATATCAATATTCTTTTAAAAAGGCTTATTCTATTGTATTTAAGAAAAAATATTTATGATGTGGGAAAAAACTGGAATAACCTGTATAAGTGATTATTTTAGAAATGTGCCCTCGGATACCATGTATAATAACCCATAAATAGTTAATTTTTTACTTAGGAGCAATACACTGTTCTCGAATGCTTGGCACACCTTGTATTGTATCATGGAAACGCTTCATAGGATTGTTAAGATCCCATTAGTGCCTGTTGACCAGGATGCTCCGGCGAGCTGATTCCCAAAGTTTGGGCAAGATTTACAAGTGACTGATTTCTGTAAAGTTTGTGCCCCCTCCTTTTAAGGTCCAACTGGGTACTCAAACGCCACCCGACTCCCCTCTGCGGGCGCTCATGTGCCTGAAAATTGAACGAAATAGATCAACCATATAGTATACACTTCCGCTCTATCTGATATGCAAAAATATCTGTACATATGTACTCCAAAGTTGATGGACAAGATGATAACATGTTAGTATGTTTCTATCAACATATAACCTTTCAAAATAAAATGAAATTAACCATAATTTGCGTTAAATATTATCTATTCTTTTATGTATGCATATATGACCAAAGCCGAAAAGTGGTTCTAGAGTTTGCTCTACAGACTATATCATATTCAGAAGGTATGTATGTATAACTTGCACTTGTGAGCAGAAAAACAAAATTTCTATCACTAGGACTAGGACACTTGACATTGTAAACATATTTATCTGTTTGATTATGTTAAATCGGGGCGAATCGGATAGTGGTTTTCTTTCATACTGATTATATGAGTTTCCAAAGATTTCGATTAACTTAATTGTTATTTGAGACAGTATCTACTTATTTCAATGCTCACAAGTGTTCAACAAGCACATGTTACATTTTTCTCGGTAAGCTTCTGTATTGTTTTTTTTTTATTTGCCAAGCGTTCTAGTTTAAGACTAAACACTCTAAGAGATACGGGTACAGACTTACCCAGGTCATAGCTATGCTATGGTAAAAAATCGTACGAAATTATTAGATTAGATCATTGTAGTACAGATAACTTCGACTTTTGGTAAAGTTCCGGCAAATTTTTTTGAATCACAATTAATATTTATGATTAGAGCAATATCATTAGCGGACGTGGAAAATCTCGATATTTTCATCATTTTGCGTAACATTCTAACTCTGTAGAACTGGTTGGTACGACGCTCCTTTGTCCCTAGGATGGTGAGTTAATGGAACAGTCTGGAGGCTGTCCCAGTTCTCATAGCCCTAGACAGTATATAGAAGGTATCTTTACGCTCCATATAGCACTCGGGGTGCACCTGAATTTATGCTTCTGGCTACGCGGCGCATGTACCTGCTATTTGTAATATTATTATAAAATTAACTAAGTTTGAAAGCTTCTCATTCTAAAATTGTTGATATTTCTATTTTTATCCAATATGGATAAAACTGGATTTAAATCCAGGAACGTTACCGAAAGTCAAGCGCTATCGTAAGTGTACGGTGTAAGAATATGTTCATAGTGTTTTTTTACATTTTACTATACATACACAATTGCACATAGTCAGAGAGTGACGGTGCCTTTTTTGGTGAACATTCTCCGCAGATTTAGTCTTTTTCATCAGCAGTGCTTTTCAAGTAGAATACAATTTCCATAAGAAGTTCAGATCAGTGGTCATTTCCAAAAGTACTAGTTACAATGTACCTTCGAATTGAACATGTTTGAAAACGAGGATTTTAAAAATTTATTAGCCTCTTTCTATATTTCACCGCAGATTCAAAGTACCTATGTTTATGAAAGTAATATCGCTGACCCTATGGAAAATATGTTTTATTGAATAAGGAAATTTTTGCATTTGCCAGGAATTACATTTTAGGCATAGACAAAGCTTACGCAAAATATGTTTTTACATTTTTTAAATCAATAATTAAGTCTTGTCTCAAGTAACAGTTTCTTTCATAGATACTCAGGACAGCTTAGGAGCTGAAAATTTTCTTAGTTTTGCAACTCAAGACGATTGATCTTTAAGCAACTAAAGTGTAATTGATTGTCTAAGTTTTCAAAAAAATCGTTCCTTTAAAATAACAACGTAGCAAGGTTTCAATGCTTCTTATAGTCTAGGTGTTTAGGGCATTTACATGTTAAGGCAAGGCTTTAAATCTGCGACTATTAAATGACGTTTCTTTCTAACATTCAATTTTTGCCTCATCAGAAATTCCAGATTCTTTTTAGACATGGTAATAAGGGTATAATGCCTTTTGTTTTTTGTAGCTTACTGAAGAGATTCACAGATTGAAGCATTATCTCTTAATCTATCAGCTTGAATTGTATTACCTATACTTACATGATACTATTTGTCTATGGGAGATGTGCGTATATGTACTTTTTCAACCCCAATGATCACTGATGTGTAACAGATGATATCTTTCGATTTATTTTTTTAAACTGCTTCAAATGATATGTCTCTATATACACGTATATATTGTCACCTCACTAGTGTATCAAATTGACAAGACTGGTGTGGTTCAACATAAAATTCAGAAGATCTTTATGAATCTCGAGATTTATTGAAAAGATATATTAAAATAGATCACGTATGGAATATTTGGATTCACTGCTTAAACTAATGAGGAAAGAGTTCTATTTTTTTGGTGACGGCTCTAACAAAATCTAAAGACTTCACAATGACCGGCAAAGCTGCACATTTCATCTGTTATACATTTAAGACTATTAAGTCAAATTATCTATGAGTGATACTTAGTATAGTCACTTACGCGATATTTTTATAGTTAGTGGCCGCTATAAGTGTACTTTTGACACTTGGACTACATTTCTTGTTCTTAAAGACTTAGAAAATAATCACTAATACTAGTAGTACATGTAAATATTGTCTCTCACAATATTTGGAATATTTTTCACCTAGTTATTAGATGCAGGTTTTGTTGACGAACTGATATGTGCGATAAAATATGTAAGAATTATTAGAAATGTATATATCAAAGTGATATGTTGAATTTATGAATTAAATGTTGGAATAACAATAACTTATTGCTGATTACTGAATCTTCAATAACCTTATAGTATGGTGCTATTACTACCTTGCGTAAGATTGGCAGCTGAGTGCACTGATCAGCCCGTAGGCTCAGACATGTATGGAGTGGTTTCTCGGGTCTTCATGATATGTAAGAAGATATTTACCCTTAGATAATTGAGATCAATTACTGATTTTAATCACTATGATGAAATATTCGTTATCAAAACCTGCATCGTACTCTATTTTGGATCTAAGACGAAAGATATATAACTAGTAATTCAGCTAATTTTATATGTACCATGATATCAGTGTCTTGTCGCTGTTTTCTTATTGAATGATAGAACATACTTTTAACTAATTTTGTTCCTCTAAGCTAAAGGTGGAAGTTTCGCATTTGTATGGACTAGACCGATTTGAGATTTAACATTAGCAGTCAAAAGTATACTATCATGAATATTACTAAATAGTATAAGCTGTAGAGAAAGTTTATAAAAATATCATATACCCTTAGAAAAAATGTTTGACGATCTCCTAGTAGCGTCACGTTCTCAGTTCTGTATCATCTTTATGCGGGATCTCAAAAATTATGAGAAACTGAACAAAAATCGAAGTTTAGTAATGTTATGGGATTTTTCGTTTTCGCTCACATCTCTACTCTCACTTGAACACAGTAGTAATACCCTTTGATTCAAACTTTGACGGCTGGGTAGTCAAGTTTCGCATCAAGTACAACACCTCGAAGATTCGCGAGTTCGAATCCCGGCCTCGGAAGTTATTTCGAGATATTAATGTTGCATGTATCTATAAAAGCTGCCAAAATATCTAGAAAAATACGTTTTCTGGAGAAACTTGTAGAACAATGTTGAAAGGTTTGAAAAGGGTCATAGTGACCTTGGAAGTGACCTTGACTCCAAGATCATTTGAAGGTCACGACTGTTTTCTTATACGCATACACCTATTTTTGATTCCCAGGAGATATCGAGCGAGAAATTATACGTTAAAGTGAGTCCTTGTTCATTACCTTGATTATGATCTTCAAGATCATTTTAGAGCTTCCAAAAGGTATGGGGAGAACCAAATTAACAAGAAAATGTACTACCTAGAGGGAAATGTTCCAGAGCAAAATTGCAAGGATTAAAGCACCGATTAAATGTTGACCTTGAATGTTTTATGATGATTGATGATTTGGTAGGACGTGAAATTATCGTTCGGGAAGCAAGAATTGCAGTATCCTGTCACAGAATTCATTTGACCTTCAAATTACTTTGGAGACCATAGTCAATGTGACGGACAAGTACATGATAGTGACCTTGATCGTAAAATGTTACTTTTATATGTCTCCGAGAAAAAGTAAGGAGCTAACTTGAAATGAGCTTGAAGGTCATGGTCAGGTTCATTAACTATGCAAAATTAATATATTTTTCAAGATATCGTGTATTTTCCATACTTTTGAGACACCCCCAAATACCCGTGAAACTTTCAAGATCAAGTTTAAGGCAGAGATACGCCTGAACGTAAATTTGCCCGCTGTTCACATTTCAGGTACAAAAAATAAGCGTTTTCACTTAAGAAAAGTGTCTTGACATTCAAGTGATCTTGAAGGTCATAACCAAGGTCATATTCATTATCACCTTCAGATGACTAATCTCATACCTTACAACTTTGTTCTTCAACATTTTTCTCTAGGTAACGCATTTTTCGTCATTGCTACAACTAGTATTACTACCATTGTTTCAAAATTTTATCAACAATCGAGAGTTGGCATGGTTTAGCGTAAATACAGAGATATTGATTTGCGTACGTTCAAGGTGAAGGTCAATATCAAATCCAAGGTCACCCTTTAAGAGCTAAATCCTTAAACATTTATTAGCATTTTCCCATAAAATCCCTTTCCGACGGGTAGTGGTAGTTTGAAATATGATGCTCATCCAAAGTCATGTTTGAACGAAAAATTTTCCGCCCGTTTCATTACCGGAATCAAAAGTGGGGGTTATATTTGAAATTTTAAAGTTGACCTTCTATTTGGAGATTTTCCTCTTAAAATGTATTTCAGAGGGTTCTCGAGCCGTTCCGGTACTTCTGCCACGCCCCGTATAATGAGGTAAATGAAATGCTTCCGAGCAAATGCCATAAATCTATATTGTACATTAACATTCTCGTAGCATTGGAAATAACTACAGAACAATACTCTTTGTGTAATAAATCAGTTGAAACGCTCAAAATGCAGACTAAAGCTTTTCGTGAAATCATGCGTAGTGCATATCATTACCTGGTATGCTTCACGGAAAAAACGCTCAAGTGATTGTGGCTTATCACACGCCTGGTACGGAATTTTGCATACCAAGAACTTGGGAAAATCTAAAGTTTTATCGGCATATATTTGACCTCAATCCAATCTTATAAAAGTTTTTATCAATAAATCCTGATAGACGTTGTCAGTCATAGTCGACCCTTATGGGAGTCTTCGACATCTTCTAAAGTGTTTAAAATTTCCGGTATACCCAAATTATTAAAAAATTCTCAAATTTTTAAGTTATGTTAATTTTTTAAAACTTGAACATTTTGAGAGCTTTGTTAACTTTGAAAACTGAGAATTTTTGATATTTTGAAGATCGTCGAGTAAACTGTAAACACCTACCGTGAAATGCAAATGTTAAGTAAGGGACTTGGGGTAATAAGGTGCTTAGCCGAAATGACTTTATTTCGAGAAATCTAGAGTTACATGTTTTACGAAAATCCGAAAATCTCGCTTCTCAATTGAAATGATACAAAAAGGTTTATATTTTGAGGCTTGGTACCTTATTTACAAAAAAATTGTACTCCAAGAATGATTTAATAATGGCTTATATGTTTTATAAACATATAATTTGTGTGTTCATTACTAGACTTGAAACAGTACACTTCATTAAATTTGTTATGCAGCAATTATCCGTAAGTTCTGTTTTTCAATTAGAACTGTGTCATATGCATTCTCTATTTCGAAAAAAATTATTTGGTCGAGAAGATATAAGCGCTCATTACGAAGTTACTTGTTATTGACACGTATTGAACTTTGAGGTCCACGATAGTTGTTCTCACTAAGGATAATGATATATTCTGATGAATAGATGGTTGTAAATTATTACTACTAAAAAAAATGTTTTTTCTACGTAACAAAATGAGAAACCACATCTATAACGGTAGTGAATTCATGAGCCACAAATCTATTTATTCGCTGCGAGTTTCTTGGCGTAAAACCGTGTGGGATACCATGGTTGTACAATAACGCTATTTAGAGATTATAGTGATATCTATCAGCGAATTGTCAAAGGAAACCTCAAGTACCTTAATCGGCAGTCAGCTCTTAAGGGTTGACTGTAAATATGAGTCTAAGGTAACTGACTCTTATTTTAACATTCGGCGTTGAAGGCATCGGTAGATTGTGGGTTATAGGCAAAAGTCTGAGAGTTCAGGAAGCAATGCATTCACAATCTCGCAACATTTCAAAACAGCCCATGTCGACAGGTGACGCACAATTCTGACGGATCTAAGTACTCTTTTACAAAATCCGGCGCGTGCAGACCCAAGACTAGAGGCTGGGGCGTGCTGCCCGCGCCGGACCGTGTGAAAACCCCAATAACAACAATAGCCCTTCGCACAGTAGTCCGGGGTGGAGGCCGCATGCCCGGCGAAGTGGAGTCCGCCGCGCGCTGGATATTGTGTGGAAAGACTCATCTACTCCCATAGCCCAACGCCGCATCAGGCGCGCGCCGCGGATATTGTGAAAGGGGCGTAACAATGCTTTTATTTAGACCACACCAGAAAAAATGCTGCAAGCAAAATGGTTGGTAGTGATCATAACTATCTATTTACAAAGTTAGGTAGGAATAAAAGAACGTAACTAGTTTTTGATTGTGTTTGGTATAAACAGTTCTAAATACGGTCATGAATTTTACCCGATTTATTGTTTCAACCTTACAGAATTTAATACAAAGATGTCACTTGCTGATCAGCTGTTCACCTCAGTACACGTCAAAACGTACTGGATACTCATGAAAAAGACCATATCTTTGATGATGTTATGTTGTCTAACCTGTCTCTGACGCTCAACCTCAATATCCTCAAATGTCGATTTGTACTAAACCGACGCAGCTATGGTGGTGCTAAGTTCTGACATCATATCTAGATGTTGATTCTTAAAGGCGAATGTCACACGATCAACATCCATACCCTATTTCACGAGTATCCATCATGCTTTGACGTCTACTGAGGTGAACAGCTGATCAGCAAGTGACATTTTTGTGTTAGTCTGCAACGTTGGCAATAATGAATCGGGTGTAAGATATTTTCTTGTGAGGTTGTTTATATTACTAGATCTTTGCAATGAGACGCTATTCATCGATGCCCTCAATGCAGACATAAAGATCTTCTATGAACACAATCGGTAGTGAAAAATAACGCTTTTGGGATCTAAATAAGCTTCTATAGTAGTGAGAGCATTTTGGGAATGTATTTCGACATCGACTCAGCGTAATAGTAAAGTGATTATCATTTTAAAAATATTTTGACAGATTACAGAACTATAAGAACGTGAACGCATATTCTTTTTTACTGTGATTGACTGAAATCCGCACTTCCAGGCAAAATTCGCAAACTATAGTTTACTATGTCTGCAAACTCTTTTAATACAGGTTACGATAATAATTAGCTAAGGTTGTATTGTTCATAAGGGTGCACCTCCGCGCCGAAGCGTTATAGTTTTGGTATCATTACATGTAGTACCGATGGGATTGGTGTTGATACTGCCATGGAGCTGCGGTTTGATGCTTTTTCAAGGCCGAGCGCTGGGTTCTGCGCTCGACTCACCCTGCAGGCTGCGACCCGGTCGCCTCTGGAACAACAAAATGCTGTCAATTAGATGAAATCACAACCTCGGTGAATATCAAAAAAATAGGTACAGAATATATAGAGGAAAGGTGCCTAATATGAGATACATTTTGGTCTGATTACCAAATTGAGCCATATTTCGTATTATTATTGTGAAAACCTACTGAAGCAAGTTCTTTGAAGTGTTTATAACTTACTTTCCTTAGCGATAAATAAAAAAAATATATTAGAATTTTAATATTCTTGCGATTAGCTAAAAATGCATTTTATACATTTTCGATTTTGGGGCTCCTAATACGAGATAGTAAAGGTTCCTAATAGGAGATGGTCTCATATTAGGAACCAATTAAATACATGTTTTTATTTATGCATATTTTATTGAAAAAAGTTTATCCTTCACAGCTGCACAAAACAAAAGTTAACAAAATATATTTTAAGATTAATTTGCTTTAGCCAAACAAGAGTCTTTTTTTGCCTTTGCCTTGTTTTTCACAAAGTGGCCAAGTGAATGTATTGCCACTGACTTCTCCACATTCTTCGTGAGTCCAGCGGAAGCACATGGTACACTGAGCCCATTTTTCTCCATGTATATCTTCCGAATATCGTCCCCGACAAAATTGACACTCTGCGTCATCATTATCTTCTTCGCTAGAATCATTGTATTCAATTTCCGATTCCTCTGACTCCGAGCTGCTTACCACTGGTACTCTTTTCTTCGATATTTTCCCTTTTCCCTCCTTAATATTTAATTTGTTTTGACCAGCATCTGTTTTTTTATTCCTCTTTTTTTCAGCTTCTTCTAAAAAGGTTTTATATGGAGTTGACGTAATGAGGCTTGCTGAGCCCTTTCTTCTCCCGGAATTATTGGAAGTCCCCGAAGTTGATGGTACCGGCTGAATATCTTGGGGAGACACCAACAGTGGCTTAGTGGGAGGAACTAAATGAGGAGCGACAGTTACATCATTATTTCTTATTTCGTTGTCCTCAGATTCCATGTCTATTATTTCAATATTCCTGGTATGTGAGTAGTGGCCATCCAGTATCCTGTGGGGTAAATAATGAATTTTTTCTAATTCTTTTTCGTAAATGTCGAAAAATTGCGTAACACTTTCCACGCGGCCTTGGTTGGCCGCGTGGGTCAGAGTGTCGTGCTACTGATCAGTCGGCCGGCCGGGCCGCGAGTTCGAATCTCGCCTTCGCCATGGATGTTGTGTGTTTGTTTTAGGCAGCAGCGGTGGCCGCAGTAGTAGACTCTTCGGTCTCCTGATCAGTCGCCGTGCGCTGTGCGGGTTCGAGTCCCATCCCAGGAAAAATTTTTCTCTTGCTATGGATGTTGTGATTGTCCGTAGGTGGTAGATGGTCTCTGACTGTCGAACGCGGAGGTACCACCCGGCGGTTCTCGTAGGCGGAGCCAGAATGTGTGCATGTTGCATGCACACGTGTTCCCTCGCCAGAGTCCGTGTGGCGTCCCCCCTTTCCCATGTATCCCCCTATAGCCCCACGGTACCCAATGGGTGCTTAGGCCTTAGGCCTTCGTGGTAGTTGGAGTATAAAAAAAAGCATTAAATCCTTTTACTCTTGCTGCAGATATTGCTTGGGGAGTACGGACGGATAACTCAGGAAATCCTCTTAGCCACTTTTTCCCCGCACTTCCTGTTCTTTGACTAAAAGGATGTCGTAGTCCATTTCGAATGGCTAACTGAAATGCCATGTGTTTAACGTCTTGCCTTCTCAATCCATAGAACTTTTTTTCCATTTGTATGCAATATTCCGCCAGCATCTTTTCCATTTCACAAGTCAAAGCTGGCTTTCTACCCAAACTGGTAGATACCAACTCATGTACACTTCTTGCATCCTTTACATACCTTTCAATAGCCCTGAAAAAACAAAAACTTTAATTAGAACAGTGTATTTTAAAAAATTAAAATTTATTTACCTTTTGGAACTTGAAATATTTGAGAGGCCTTTTGGTATCCCATTTCCTTATTTTTAACTGCTTGAACAGCCCTAACCATGGCTTCCTTGTCCCATTGTTTACGTTTTATTCCTTGCTTAGGCATCTAATTAAAAAAATAAAAACTTTAATAGGAACAGTTACTGGAATTTGGGCCTGAAAATAATTGGGTTCATAATATGAGATACCTCATATTGCGAACCTCTAGGTGTCTCATATTAGGAGTCCAAACGTTCATTTTACAAAAAGTGAATTTTAATAATAAAAAAATCAAATCAAATTAAGAAATGTAGCGTAAAAGATTGTCGTATACGTAAATAGTAGACTGGGTAAAATTAAAACGTCATTAGTTTACCTTCTGGATTACAGCTACACGAAACACAGAGCACTTAAAAAAAGTCCTTTACTGACAACAGCACAAAACAAACTGCACGCGGATTCACTTGTCATCAAATATAGAACTAGGTTATATATAATAAGGTTTGCGTCCATGCTTAACGTCTGGCATGACTACCGTTAGATGGCAACACGTATTATGGAAGATATTCAGCTATCTCAAATTAGGAACCTATCTCATATTAGGCGCCTTTCCTCTACACAAGTTCATACAAGCATGGGCCTAGGAATGCTTCGTTTATATGATACGATATGTTTACTCATGTCCGTTTTTTTAAGGTCGTCCTATTTGTTAGGTGGAGTACGTTAATCGATGCGCGAAGGCAAATAGGAATTGGAGACACCAAATAAGGTTTGAAGATTCTAATGACATCTATGAGACAGTAGCCAAACACTTTTAAATTTTTTCAAGGTCTGTTTACAGAATACAGCATCAAGCGGAGGTAAATCGACACGTACTCCGTACAGGTTGGGATTTATCGGTTCTTTCTAACAATGAATTTCCGATAGTTTCAAACAGTCATATATAGCAGACCAGATTGTAACAAGTGAAGACCTGATCATAAATTTGAATGGATGACTGTATATAGTCTCTAGTCGGGAGTAAAGTTATTGGAAACATGCGCCTGACAAATATTAGCTAAACACGGTCCTCTACTGCAGAATGTTTCTTAGTTTATTTTTGTGTTCTGCTACTATCTCGTAGATGACGTTAGCAGTTTTCAGATCTTATTTTGGACGTTGGAATACAATATGTAAAGGGTGGGCCATCCGTTGGTTTCTTTTTTAAACTGGTATTAAAACTACACTCTTCAATAATATGTAACACTCGATACTTTATTCAAAGGAATACGGCTTCCGATCATTTATGAAAAAAAAAATCAGTTAAATGGCTGCTGCAACTGGCCTAGCAGTAGTCCATTCTCTTAACCCAACTTGTGGGTCTATTTCATCAATAGCTAGGCGGATATTTTCCTTAAGAACATCAATTGTTTGAGGATCGTTAGTGTAACAGCGGTCCCATAGGAAGTAATCCATGGGCGTCAAATCACAGCTGCGGGCTGGCCAATGAACGTCTCCGAAACGGCTGATAACGCGGTAACTGAACTTAGTGTGTGAAAGATCGATTGCTTCACGGCTGGTGTGGCACGTTGCGCCATCCTGCTGGAACCAGATATTGTGCAAGTGTATGTCGTTTAATAGTGGCCACAAAAAACTCCTCAACATGTCTCTATAGCGTTGCGCTTTTACCATCACGCTGTTACAATCTTCATCTTAAAAAAAGTAGGGACCAATAATCCCACCACTCCAAAAGCCACACCAAACAGTTACTGTTTTTGGATGCATTGGTTTTTCTATGACGACATGTGGATTTTCAGAACCCCAAATGTTCTCCTTCTAACAGACCTTACACCAAACGAAATATTCTTTCCGAGATTGCAAAAATCTGGGATCCGTTAGGTTTTCTAACACCAGTTTCATTTTTCGCTCAAGATTGGGACGAAATCCCTCCAGATTCAATTGTAGACCTTTGGAATCAATTTCGTAATCGATTAACTACTCTTTCGAATATTTGCATCCCTAGACATATTTTTTCAAATAACCTTCAGCGATGTCAACTATTCGGTTTTTGTAACGCCTCAGAGCTGGGATGCGCTTGTTGTGTATATCTTCGAGTCGAACTACCAAAAAAAGTCATTAAGTCAGCCTTAGTTGTCGACAAATCAAGAGTATCACCCCTTTATACAAAATCAATCCCTCCCCTAGGAGCCACCCTTTTAGCAGATTCGTTAGATCTAGTAATTCGTAACTATTCTTAGTCTTAGTTCTTAGTCGTCATAGATGATATTTTTGCATTTTCTGATTCACAGGCTGCATTACATTGAATCACGTCCTCTCCACGTAAATGGAAGAGCTTTGTAGCAAATCGTGTCAGCCATATACAAGAAGTTATTCCGAATGTACCGTGGTATCATATACCGCCTCTCGAGAACCCTGCAGATTGCGCTAGCAGAGGCTTAACGCCAACAAATCTTGTCAATCACCTCTTTTGGTTCTATGGTCCACATTGGATAACTTTGCCTACTACCAGATGGAAAATCAAAAGGTTTATCGATGAAAGTTCTGATATCAGACTAGATGATGTCGTTAACGAAAAAAGTCAAATAATACAGTGGTTCTTAACAGCCGAAATTCAAAAAAAAGACTTTCCATCGACTAGTAAATGGTTTATTCAATTTAAATACTATTCAACAAATTATTTGTCGTCTTATTCGAGTAATTCTTGTCAAAAACGATTCAATAAGTTCCCTTTCAGGTTCGTTTTCAGCCTTTAAACTTCACAGAGCATTATTAATTCTGGTAAAAATATTCCAGAAAGACTGTTTTTCGGATATAATTTTGAAAATTGAAACCAATCAATTTATTATTGTCTAAGCCGTTACGACAGCTAGCTACAGTATATTCAGATAAGAGATAGACCGGATGTAAACAAAAGGTTTGGGTGATTTTCACGCTAACGCCGCCGTCTCGACGTAAAACAGGAGCCCTCATTGGTCAATTCGCAATTAAATGCCTATGCCGAGCGGCAGAGCAGTCGTATCAAGTCAGAGTCACATTCAGGTTCAGACGTGTTACGTATGTCGTGTGCATCA